TAAATAAAATGGCCTTAGCTTTAGTGTTAAATGTTCCACATCTTCCGAACAGAATTTAGAGAGAATCTTACAGTCTGTGCACCAGGACTGTTTGACGAAGGTGGCCATTCCTCCTCTGCGGGTCTTGCCACTTTCAGCAGCGCTGTGATCCTGTCAGAACAGAGAGTAACCATCCAAAGTTATACCCTCATCAGGAGTCTCCTTTCCCAGCCATGTTTCACAAAAACACAGCAGGGAGCAGTCCAGTATGTCCTTCTTCGAGGTAATCCGTGCATGGAGTTCATCCAGTTTTTTATCCAGAAACCGGACATTTGCAAACAGTATAGTGGCCTGCCACTGCTAACCAAGCTCCAGACTTCAGTTTGACTTCTCCCGGTCTGCCGTGTCTCCGCTTCAGCCTGTTGTTATCAGAAGAGCTCCCTGCCGGGGGTTGGCCTGGCGTCATGTTGACATAGCATATTAGCTCTGGGTGAGAGTCCAGCGTGCTTGGGTCAAAATCTCCAAAAAGAATGCGCTGTCTTAGCAGTAACAAAGTCGCCCGGTCATAAATAAAGTTTGCAGTCGTTACTGTTGCTTTAACATGACACAAATAAGCAAAAAAGAGAAACCACCTGACTCCGAGTGAACTGTGATATCGCACCTCGAGGAGCACCATCTTGCATCATCAAAATAGAATGATGGTTACAAACAGTAACTTCGAGTATAGGTGTAGCCCTCTAAGCTGGCAACCCCGCTGTCTGTACCCCCGCCAGCTAAAGAAAAAGCGCTAGCATAGGGAGCCGAACTCAAGTCACATTGGCATTTATACCACCACAGCAGACCTGAGCAGGGACAGCCCAGTGCAGGGCACAGGACACAAAAGAAATCTCTTCAGGACTGTGCATGCATGAGGGATAAACCCAATAGCGACAGCTTTTAGAGGGCTATGCCTATACTCATTGAAGCTTGGGTTACTGTACATAACCATTATTAAGCCCAATGTGCCACAAATGTTGTGAACAGAAGAGTTATCTGTGCTCCTGTTGGTTGCCCCACCATGTTGTAAATGATGAAAAAAGTTTTGACATGCTAAACTTTGTGATGGGACATCGTGAGGCGTCCTAGACGCATCAGTTGTCATTTACTACGACACCCTATACAGGATACAATGATAGCTTGTCATGTCTGATGACATTTGTCAGTTCTGATTTCATAAGTCTGTCATGTTGGGCTGTTATCGGGCTTAAATCATGTAGTCTGACCAGGGCATTAATTTTAAAATGCTGCTTTTGTGTAAAAACTATTTGCATCCACACTAGCTGTTCCAGGCCGTTTCTGTAGGGATCTCTTATCATCCGTGTATAGAGGGCAAGGTAATGGGAGGATTAGGGACAGACAAGGGGCAGAGTTTATAAGAAGGGCCTGGATGTTCAGTTTTTCATGGTTCAGAGCACATCTACATCCTCTGTCCTTTGTATGCTTAAATCCGTAGACTTATTTTAAGTTTTTAGTGGATGTATGAAACCAAAGATTTATATTTTTAGAGTGCTTATGCCGTGTGAGGGATTAAATTCTTGGAAAGTCAGCCAAGGAATAAGGTATGCAGAATAATACATTTAATGTTTCTTTTTAAATATTTATATTCAGTTTTGTATGTCCCTGAAGGAAGAGGGAATTGTGGTCTAGTTTTAACAAGCCAGTATATTTTGTCAAATGTTTATAATATTTCTTTGTATTTATTTTAATGTTTTTGTTTTGTTTTGTGTCCATGAGGAAAACTACTAGAAAAGCCAACCACTGGTTTTCCCAGGTTTATCACAATAGTTTAAACATTCATCCAATTGTATGGGCCATCTGCCTTTGTGTCTATAGTTATTTTTGTGGTGCTTTGGACTGTATCTGTGAGGAGGCTTGAGTAACACATTGAAACAGTGTTTTCACATTCATACACCCTGTAGGCCGCTTTGGAAAAGCTGCTTTTTGGGGTGAGAAAAATGCTGTTATAGTCTGGACAGAAGGTTGAAATAGAGAGAACAAAACATTTTTATACATTTGATAAACTCTTTGGGGGCTTTGGAGGCAGTGTCTGAAGGTGTAATGATTAGCCTTGTCTCTAGTACTAGTAGAACAGTCCACATGCTCTTTAATTTGGTTTTAGGAACAACCTGAGCATGTATTTCAGTAAGGAGAGATCAAACGGAAGTGAATAACAAAACGTATGGAGTTAGGCAGCACAATGATTTTCGATGATTAGACAATGTGAAGGGTCTTCATTAGGTGTAGGCTGTATGAAGATCGGAAATAGGACTAGTGTCTAGACACTGCTGCTGGTGGTGGTGGTGGAAGTGGAGTAGAGCCAGCAGATGTTTGATGGAGGTCTGGAACAGTGAGCCTGGACATCATGGAGGTATGGTGGTGATGTGTAAGAGCTGGGTTATGCAATAGTAGGTCTAAAAGACAAGAAGACAAAATTGCAACAAGATTTAATTGAATTAGTGACTGGAGAAACACAGGCGGTAAGATCATTGGTCAGATAAGGTGGCGTCAGGACTGAAGGTGGAGGGAGATTTGACACAGTGGGGAAGAAGACAATGGAGAGAAATACGTCCGGTGGAAATGGCCGGCATGAACCCAGTGAGGAACATGCAGAATGTGAGGGAAGAGATCTTCCTTACTGATTTTTTGTCAAAGGTTCATTAGCCTATAGAATGCTGTCAGTCCTCCCTGAGAAACCAAGGGACTGACTGCTATAAGGAATGATGGATCCTAGAGTGCTGTTGATCATATACTGTGACTGAAATCAGGGACTCATGATGATGTAGAGAAACAATCTATTCAAAATTAAGGACTGACACAATATGTTATGGAATTTTTGATCCTGCAACAACTTATACAGTTGCCTCTTAATGAACTGAGATACAGTATTTTACTTTATTTTTGCTAATATACTTTATCTCAGACTACAGGTTGCCATGCTATTTATTGGTCCACTAATGTGCATTCATGTGACCATTTGCTTATGCACTAGCAAAACAATGTAAAAGGGAGCAACACAACTGTGATTTGTTTTAGATTAGTGTAATGATCATGATATTTTTACTTATCATGTTTTTCTAAAATTAAGTGCATCAGTTCATGCATTATCTGCACCTGTTTATCCTGTGCAGGTGAGTGAGGGGCAGGGCTCACACTGACCAGGTCACTGGTTTTTAACTGGCAATCACAGTTTTGTTTTCACAAATGTTTGATTGTCAATCTCTGCTGCAGTGTTACAGAAGTAATATTACTAACACAGAAAAGTAGAGTCATTTGTTTGGACACAAGCTGTAAAAGCAGTCACACCACAGAAACCAAACTTTAAAAGAATTGATGTTAATAGTTTGTTTCTGGGAAAAGCAAGTTCATATTGTGGCTTGGCTTCAAGTGTGCTTGAAGGTTCATATCACAAAAGCAGAAAGAAAAACAGAACAAGGAGATGTTAACAAGCCATTTTCTCTCCACTTCTGGTTGCTTGATAGAGACCAATCAAAAAGAGGCAAAATGGCCAATCAGAAACAGTAGCCTTGGAAATAGCCAATTAGGCCTGTTTGTCTGTGAGGACAAAGGAAGTGATATTGCAGAGTGATTGCACCAGCGCCAAGCTACACAGACACACTCAAATGGCACCTTGCTTGTTACCTTCCAACCCTAATTTTCCAGGAGTGTGAAATCTTGATTGCATTGGTGCCGGCAAGAGAGGACGTCTCATTATTACACCAAAACAGTCGCCACCTCAGAGGCAAAAAACTGAGATTTTGTTTTCATTAGGGAGCTATTGATTCACTGGCTCTCAAGTCAAGGCCGACACACATGCTCACGCACATGTGCTGAGAGGATAGTCTGGCAATTTTATTCAAAGGATTTGTACTTTACTCCAGTCCACTTAATGAAGCTGTAAATTTAGAGACACGAGAGCCTTTACAGTGCCCCTCTGAGAGCTGCTACAATGATCCTGGGACTGAGATGGTTAATTAACTGATTGTTTGCTTGGCTGAAAGCCACAGAGAAGATAGGCAGACGTGTAGAGAGACAAGATGGAGAGGAAAACAGAGGACATGAGGGGAGGAGACAGAAATGAATGGGAGTACCGAGGAGAGGTGGAAAGTAACTGAGTATATTTACTCAAGTTCTGTATTCATTACTGTTTTGATATTTATACTTTAATATTTCCATATTGTGCTACTTCATACTTTGACTTCAATAAATTTTGGAGGCAAATATTGTACTTTTACTCCACTGCATTCATTTTCATGTCACTTTTAAAAATCAGGTTAATAAAATTAAATACGATCATAAGACTGAGTGGAAAATTCACAAGATTACCAGCAGTAAAGTACTTCAAGTGAGGGAAATTCAGGAATGAATTGCTTGTTCAACTCATTAAACGTGTTTATCGGGCTTGCAGAATCACAGAGATTTCCTACAATTGGCCTAATTTAGAATAAGAGCTCACAGTTGATAAATGCCCTTGTTCATTTTCTTAGAGAAGTTTGGAGCTGGAGCCAGAAGGCTTTTAGCTTAGCTTTGCATAAAGACTGGAAACAGTGGAAAACGGCTAACTTGGTTCACAACAAAGTTAAAATAAATAACAAACCTCAAAAACTGACTAATTAACACAGTGTCTGACTAGTTTAACCTATCACAAATAGATATGGCAATAGATATGTTTTTATGGTGAGTTTGTTTGATGAAGCAAAGATAAGCTAAGTCTGCTAGCTCCAGTCAAAAGCATTGTGTTAAGTACTGCCAATCTCTGTGAGGCTCCACTGACTTTACACTGCAACAATAATCAAATGCCTTTTCCCAATTATTGCATAAACACTTACACTTCAAATTTTCTATTTATATGTCTAAAAGTTACACTTTATCCTCAAAACTACAGTACTACAATAACATACAAGCAGCCAAACACTAGCATGTGTAGACAGAAACATAGGTTTATGTTAGTATCGTAATCTTAGTTTATTCATTGCAGTGGCTGTTGTTCTGGAGTCTCTGTAACTGTTAACAAAGTCAAGCATCTGTCAACAGTTAGATCTTCCTGCTGGTTCTCTTCAGCACCACAGAACCAATTTTGGAGGTCTAGAGAAAGACAGAAAAAAAGGAAGTTATTAAAGTAAGAAATTCATCATTCCAGTACCATATAATGCCTCATCAGAAGAGATCGCTGTGCCTCTAGCTTGTGTCTTATGTTACTTTATTTTCTAATCATTTATGACAATATCTGAAAACAAGAACTGGACAAAAGGAAGTGCAAATTAACAAGACTTTGTAACATTAGGATATTATCACATCAGCTCAGATTTTAAAGGATGAATATGGGACTGAATTGCTTGTTGCACTACTCTACATTTGAGACGTTTTTTTCTCATCAGCTAATGCTGATCCCCAGCTGCAGAAATATATAACATTAATGACTCTTATGATCCCTGTGGGGGGCTGAATATAATAACTGCTGTCATCATGCTGGGTTCTCAGGGCTAAAAGCCTAAGTGAGTGTGTTTACCTCGATGAGCTTGCCTCCAGTGATCTCAGAGGTGTGGTCGTACTTGGGGAAGGTCACACTCAGCTTGCCTTCCTTCATGTACACTGTGCCCTGAAAACACAGGATATAATAAGTCAGGGAGCCAGGGTGCATCCATGTTTCCTTTCCTTTCTGTTAGTTTTATTATCACGATCACAGTTTCATGTTTCTGCCCTGCAAAGCTGGTATGTCAGAGTACGGTCAGAGTAAGGTAAAAGAATAAACTTTGGATTCTCTCCCTTCTACCTTGAATTTCTTTCCTCCAATGGTCTCCATGTCACACTCTTTGCCAATGGTGAATTTGTTAGTGACCCTGGCATTTGCGGGGTAGATCTGTGTCCAGGTGTAGTCTTCTCCATCCTGTGTGACCTCTGTGATCAGCTTGTAGTCACGACCCTTCTCTATGATGTCGTCTGGAATGCCTAGAATAGGAAAAGAAGAGTGTCCAGATAATCAGAAAAGGAACAAGTAGGGAAGCAAAATGTTTGTGTTGCTCCAAACAAAATTTCGTTGTATGTGTCACAATGTTACAATGACAATAAAATAAAGCTTCTTATTATTATTATTATTTGGCAAAGAAGGGTCTAGATTCGTTCTCACCAAGCAGCTTGCAGAACTCATCGTATCCTTCTTGGGTCTCAGTTTCCCATCTTCCAGCAAAGGCCATTTTGGTGAAGTTGGTGAGTTGAGTTGGTAGAGGTGAGAGAGCAGAGATGTTGAAGTAAGCTGAGGAAAGAGCAAGCTACTGAGACCAGGACTGTTACCTGTTATATACTGTTCACCTCCAGCCACCTCCTTCATCTGCAAAGTGAAGATTATGACTATAATAGGCTATGAGGGAGAGGGCAGTAACCCGCATTTATGGAGCCCAGAGAGTGAGAAAAATGCTGATTGGCCATCAGAGCAAACTGGTACCTCACGTCTAGGTCAACGAACTCCCATGCAATAGCTTTATGGTCGCACCCTCCACATTTATTGCTCTGGATTCTAAAATCAAATAAAGAGTGTTGTTTGAAAATATATAATCCCTCTATACAAGATAGTTTATCTTCCCATTGTGAGTGGTCGGATCTGTATAAAGATCTTCGTATATTCAAAGGTTTTATCGATAGACTGGAATAGAAAGGACTCCAAAGTATGTGTGGCTGTGTCTGCTTGAGGGGCTCAGTGACAGTATTTAGTTTCAAAAGTTTAATAGTTTTAGTGTGCGCTGTGCTCACAGGGTACATATTAATAAATAAAGTTGTGTCTAAATGTAAGACTGGCAGTATTCTATATTTCTCTCACTGTCTTCAAATATAAAAAAGATCAAAACCAACAGTGAAATGTTTTCAAATGCTTGCAGAAGTATTTTGTTTAATTGTTGCGGACAACTTGGCACTTTGGATTTGATGCACTAGCAAGTGTTTAGGACACCGTGACCTTGAATGTGAAATCAACTCACTATAAACGACAATGCCCATGTTAATCAGAATAAAAGAAACATGTCACCCACTGTAGTAGTGTGGATTATAGCTGTGTTTTAATGGTTGTTGCACAACAATGGAGCTCTGTGGCACAGAAGAATAAGAGATATCTGACTTTGACTGCACATGTGATGCTTGATAAGTTATGGGTCAGTTCAATATTAGTTTGTCTTTTCAAGGAATTCGTTTACCATGAACTAATGGGCAGAAAAGCTACATGAAGCCAGTCTTTTATGCTAAATGTAATGAATGTAAACCCTATGATTATAGCCATTTGAGCCATCCTGTGTGATCAATATGAAAGGAAACAAAAAAGCTTAAGTAGCTGTGTGGTAGCAAATCAAATAACAACAGAAACTGGTGACAAAAACAAGCACTTCTTCAATCCTCCTTTAAGAAAATCACAGCATATTGTTAACAGAATTACAGTATAATGCTGTTTGTACACATTGGCTGAAAATCATCCATTAAAATGAGGACATGACTAAAGCACCTTTCAGTCCTTTCAAACTTTCAATTCTACAAATTGTGACTAGGTAAAAGCTTTTGATGCTGCATTTAATTTCGATTGCACACAATACAGCCATTTCGACAGACCACTGGTAGTGTTTCTAAAGCCTGAACAGTCAGCATGGCCTTGGAACTCATTACAGATACATAAAACATGGTATTGGCCAACATCCTTTAAAAACAGCTACTAGCTCGCTCTCTCTCTCTCTCTCCCTCTGTGTGTGTGTGTGTGTGTGTGTCCTTTGCACTCTCACAGACTCACACAAGAGGTCATTGTTCTGAAATGCACACATTCAGTTTAAAAACCCACTTCCAATTTTACATGCAACATCTTTCACAGTATATTTTTCACACCATCTATTTGTGCTGTGCAGTGCGGTATAATGTGACATGACACTGGGCTCAAGATGACTTTGACCTTGCGGAATAGACTTGATGATGATGCATTTTCTGGATGATGGACAAGTTACTTTGTTATGCATAGTCCTTCACCTTCTTTCCACAGGTTTTAGTCTAGTTCAAGGTGGTGCATGTGTCTTGTGTTCTATTAATTTTGTTCTAAATGGATAAGTTAATCAATTTGCACACAGAAGAAGAAGCATTTCAGTCACATTTTCCCCTTGCCTTATGCCACTCATCTCAGTGAATGATAAATATGATGCTGTCCCCCTCTGTTGTTTCTGAGGAAGGCAGAGGTGGAATGGAAGTATATTTATTCATAGCCCACACTTAAGTACAATTTTTAGGTATTTTACTGGAAAGTTCAAAATTTTTACTCCTCTTCTGTTCTACTCCACTACACTTTAACAGAAGATATTATACTTTTCACACAACTACATTTATTTGAGAGTTTTATATACTTGTTACTTTGCCAGTTCATCTAATACAAAGTATAATCAACTAATAAATTGTTGTATTATTGTAGCAATAGCATCAAAATATAATAGTCATTATGCCGAATGCCCTTATACTGTATATATGTATATGAACCTACTTCTGTGGTATCATTCACCCATAGGTCAGATTTGTGAAATTTTATGCAGAACGATTTCCCTCTTTATTTCTGTTTTGTTGTATTTGCCTTGGGGTCAAATCAAAGCTAACCACAGCAGCAAATAATGAGCAAAGTACAGTTGTCAGAGTTTATTGTTGAAGTTGTAACCTTGAGATTACACTTTAATAGTCAGTTGTAATTTCTTACCCTCTCCTTTCCCCATGCGTGAGTCCTACAGGATAATATGTAACTAGAATGCCTGGCCATTACTTTATGTCCAATCACATGTTGATGAAGTAATGCTTTACTGTTGCAGCCCTTCTCCAATTATGATAGGCATCTTTCAGGATAGAGTTAAGATGACCAAGAGCTGATGATGAATATGATAAACAAGAAAAGAATAACAAGACTATGAACAATTGAACAAGGAGAAGAGCAAGAGACGAGAAGAGGGGCAAGAAAGAATAGATTCTGAAGAAAGATACATATAGATGGATTCCCTTTATCTACAGGATTTGCGGTGGAGGAATTAAAAGAGGGGAGGCCTTGATATGCAAAAGAAGCTGCCGCTAATCAAAGCAATAAGATTAGCCTTCCAAATTGAGATGAAGAAAGGCTCCATTATCTGGGCCGAGTGTCATGTTTAATAACGCGGAACGGCATGGTAATTCACTAGTGATGCAACTGTAGCTTATGCGGGTGTCTATGTGAGTTTATCTGCATGTGAGAAAAATGTGCATCTGCCTTTTTGTGTGTGAAAGGAAGAGAGAGAAGAAAGTTCATATATACAGAGAGAATTAAATATCTGAAAGACAAACTGTGACCTTGTCTGTATGTGTGCATGGGTGTGTTAGCCAGAATGAGTGTGCACATGACTGGCTTTGCACCACTCTTGTTAGGAGCAGTGTTCTTTTTCAAGCAATGGCAGTAGCTTTTTTTTTTCAGTAAAATCTCCTGAGCAGATTTAGTGGTTTAAGGAACTGTCTTTGATTATATTCTCCACAGTGGTCTCTCTGCTACCGTCAGCTTTTGGAAATGAGCCCACTAAAATGACAAATTTGCTGTCCAATAGCAGTAGAACATGTACATTATTAAAATCTTATACTAAAATAAAAATACAGCAATGTTAGTAGTATAAAGTTCTTGCTTATTATTCACAATGCAGAATGGGCTGTTTCAGTGTGTTTTACTGTAATTATTATATTTTATTAGCTTATTATGCATGAGTGTGTGACCAAATATTTTAATGACCATAACACTACTAAAATGAGAGTGATTATTAAAGTAAAATTCATCAGGTCACCAGTAATATGACTCAAAATGAATGCTAATGCTTTGTGACTGCTACATATGTAAATAGAATGCTGTTTGCTAACATGTTCTCTGCATCTTTTAAAGACGATATTATCTAATTATCATACTTAAAGCTAATTCTGCTCCTTAAGCACCAAACATACTCCTTATACAAAATGGTCCTTTAGGGCTGAGACATTATTATATATAGTATGTTATATCATGGAATACTAATTACAGATGCTCATACTATATGTAAAAGCAGCATTTAATGTTGTAGCTTGTTATAATTGAAACTACTTTATGTTCTGTTGGATGGACTGAACTTCAGCAGTGGATCACATTTTATAAAATGATTGCATGCTTTGTATATAAAATATGTAACTGCAAAGTAACTAGCAAAATGTAAAATTATTTGTTCTGGCTTGCTAGTGGTGCATAAAAATCAAAAATACTTAATTTAAGTACTTCAAATGTATACTTGAGTACAGTACAGTACAGCCCTTAGTTAGTTTTTGACTGCTAATAGACAGAGATGTTTAGAAGTCATAAAATGCACAAGTCTGAGTCCATAATAATCAGTGTTTATTTTTTAGGACCCACAGTTATGATACCCTTTAAACACAAGTCGTAACTGAAAATGAAAATGAAGGGGAAAAAATTACCTTTTCACTTTAACAGGTGATGCCATCAGCTCAGACTTTGCAGCTTAGACTATGTTCACACTGCGGGTCTTAATGCTCAGATCGGATTTTTTGCGGAAATCCAATTTTTTTGCGCTGTTGTTCACACTGTCATTTAAATGTGACTGCCATCTGTCTCATGTGTGAACGGTATACAGCCCTGAGGTGACCCGCATGCGCAGAAGAGGACGTGACGTCAGACGCAGCCTACTGTGTTTGAAAAAAATTAAAAATGGATGCGGCTCGTGATAGCATGTGCGTAGCGATGTACCAGTTAATGTGCAATCAAAATAAAGAAATAATAATAATAAGAATATCAAGAAGAAGGAAAGCACAAATATTGCTTATGGCCTCGCCTCCTCCAGCGCAGAATTGTGACGTCTGTCGCATTTCAATGACATAAAAATCGAATGAAATGCGACATGGCCGTTCAAACTGAAGTCGCATTGCAAAACATCAGATATGTATCCGATTTAGGACTGCATATGAAAGTGGCCTGGGCCGGATTTGAAAGAATCAAATTTGTGCTGTTCACACTGTCATAAGGAAATCGGATATGGGTCACATCTGGGCAAAAAGATCAGATTTGAGGCACTTCAGCCTGCAGCGTGAACATGGTCTTAGTGATTCCTTCTAGTTATCTGACTGGTCATTTGAACCACAAAAAAAAAAAAAAAAGGAAATGGTGTTTCCTTGTTCCTCTGTGTTACCATAGAACCTACTGTAACTTCTGTCTTGCTGAATTCTGTGAACCTGCAGATAAATGTGGATAATTAAAATGCATTTTTTGTATATAGCAAGCTGGAGGTAGGGAGTACAAATCTCTTATAAAAGTCTCGTTTTTTTTGTAATGTGGTATAATTGGGAAAGTTATTTAAAACCACATTATTTGTCAGTCATTATGCTCATTTTAAATTATATACTGTATAACCAAATGAGCTAAAAGTCTGCACTGGCAGACAATCACACGGTGCAGTAAAATTATACACTACCAGTCTGTGTGACTCTGATCAGCTATGCTACCTTACACACATGAGTCTAACATGAGCCAACACATCTTACATCATGACAACAGCAATGGCATTAATGCTAACATTAAGCTAACTCCAGGTTAACTTAGCTAACTTACAGGCCATTGGCAACACTGATTGAGTTTTCAGTTGGATATGGTTGATCCGATGTTTTTAATTTTTCCCAACATTCCCAATGGTTTTGAAATCCCTAGGTAAATTCCAGTTCACCTAACTGCATCCACGTATCCCTCACTTGTGTCTTTCTTTTGTGTCTTAGTCCCGCCCATGTAAGATGCGAGAAGAAACTGAGAGGAGAGAGGAACCAAGGAAACATGTTTTAACTGACCCGAGACATCCTTTCCTCCGATCCTTTATGTGAAGTGTCCAGTCACAAACTGATTTCTTTTTAAAGGAGTGTGTAACAGACTTTCATGAAGGATAGGCTTCTGTTTCCTTGTACAGTAGCTCCTCCAGACAGTCTCCTTGCTCCTCAGCCCTCGCCCCTCAGAGCAAAAATAAGATCATCAATATCCTTCATCATGGAGGACCAGAGCAACTTCAGAGTTGAGCGAGGATCGCAGAATGATAAAGTAAGGAGTTGGGATTCATTGGTGGTAAGCAAAAAGCTACAACGTACAGTGTGATATAGAACTCACTATGGAGACAATGACACAGTATAGCTCATTTTATGTGTAGCATGGATTTTAAGGGGACACCATCAGACACACACTGTTACAGGCTCACAGAGAGCTGTAATAACCTAAACCTTTCTCCTGTTATGATCTTACCAATGCTTGAAAGACTCTTATTGTCACAAATCATTTTTCACAAGTCTGAGTCAAGTCTGGAGTCAGTTACTGTAGGAGTGAATTGCAAGTCAATTCAGAGGTCTATTTATGTGGTACTCGAATGCAAGTCACCAGCTCGACTGCCCATCTCTGCTACTAGCCTGTGGATTTGTGCTCTCCCGTAATAGAATAGTGTTGAACCAAGAAACTGTTTTGATAGGACCTTGCAGACTTTGTCAGATGAACAAAAGAAGGGTAGCTGCAATGTGCAGCAGCAATAGAACAGATTTTCGTTGACATTTAATAGGCCGCTTTACAGCACAAAGGGAGACTGGCTTATGTAAGATGGAGGAACATAAGAACAGCAGGAGAGATTTATTCTTCTCACCTCTCATATACAGTGCTAAAGATTTCAGTTTTTCACAAAAGCAGATGGTTGGGTACAAGTAAAACATAAATGGAAATAGCACCTTCGAAATGTGTTTCCTTTTCATGAAAGCAAAAGAGAAAACAGATGGTACAAAGGGAGGGAGGGAAAAATTTTGAAAGTGGTGTATAGCAAATATGAGATATACAGTAGGACTAGTAATACCACTGTTGTGAGAGGCCACCAATAGTTTCTGGTAATTATACCAGTCTCTCACAGGTAATCAGACCATGACTACTGATGGTTGAAAATACTGCACCTAACACCTTCAAATTCGAAAAGCCTGTCAGAGACAGCTGCCTCAGTAACTTGGGCAGTGAGCCAATCTAACCATTAAACACCAAGACAGAAATAGGCCACGTTAGCCGCCAACAGTAAACATTCTGTTGTTATTATCTTTACTGTTTCTCAATCTATCCTGACAGCCTTAACATCCTTTGGGGAAGGAAATGCAGTCACTGGTGATTATAAAGCCCCCACTACCCCCACCTCTGCCCCTCATCCAGAGATCCCAATTATGCCGGCATTAATATTTCATATTACACAAGACTTGCAGAGAAACCACATGTGTACTCAGCCCTTTGTCTTCATGTCAAATGAAATGTACTCTGCAATCATCAAAGGGTGAACCAAGGTGGTGAGAGGAGGAGTGATGGCAGGAGGGGCGGAGGAGAAAAGCAGGGGTGGATGGAGATGATGGAAAAAGATGGCAGGAAGGGAGGAAGAGGGAGGCAAGAAGTGTGAAGCCAGGCAGAGTGTAGAAAGAAAAGGAAAGACTAGGTGAGACAAACACAAGGAAAGAACGTAAGGGTGACGGGAGAGATGAGGCAAGACAAAGACAAGGAAATATGGAATATGAGATTTGTGTGTATATACTATATATATGTATATAGTATACATACAGGTCTCTATTTATAAGTACTCTTATTTTTTAATCTCTTTTCCTAATGCACATTCCCTTGCTTGTTGGCATGTATGTACACATTGAGAGCCAATGTACCAGAGTCAAATTCCTCATGTGTCCGACACACCTGGCCAGTAAAGCTGATTCTGATTCTGAAATCAAGAGAACAATACCACTTGAAAAATCAAGTTTAGCCATAGGATATTTTTTATTTTATCCCATTCATGTGTGCGTGGAGCCAGAGGGAGGTCACCCTGTTTGTTCAGTGAGAGACTTAGCTCAATGCAAGTGCACATGGGCCCAAAAATGCGGACGTGTGTGGAACATCCAGGTAATTTTTATGGCTGGAAGCATGAACATGAGTATGCGCCACTGACCAACTTGAATGAATAAGTGCCATCTAGCAATATTGTATCCAGTTCTCCAGATATAGATTCATGGATTCTGCACAGTAGCAACCAGAAGTGGAGTGACAGCATCGAACCGCCATCAAAAGCTGTCAGATCAACTGAAATACACCCCTTTTTATATAACCAAATAACTTAAAACAAACTTACCAGGCAAAATGGTCACCTTGTAAACAAATCAGCGTGATAATATTTATCAAAAATGACACAAATCACCTCTAGGAAAAATGTATTTGATTTGTAATTTAAGTTTTTATTTTGGCTTAGGGCCCATTACTAGGATGGAGGAGGCGGGGTTTATGACTTTTACTGCAACTGGCCACCAGGTGGCAATCGATTCTCAGTGGCTTCACTTCTGGGAGCTGTTAGTCTGTGGTATTGCATATACAATCAGTGCTTGAAATCAAGTTCACACCAATTCAAATGGGCACACTACAAGTTCAATTAACCCTCATAACACGGTAGAAATAACACTGACAATTGAGTTCATTTGCAGCACCTCACTTGAGTGACAAATTAACATTATTGTGAGGCAGTTGCATTTTGCAGTCAGAAAATAGGACATTACCATTATCTGTGATTATGGTGTAGAATCTAAAATGCTTCCTCACATAACTTCTCTGTCATGTCATAATGATCTAGTCAGCATAGCTTGCTAGTCTTATCCATTTTTCCTTAATAAAGAGAACAATAGCCTTAGACAGATGGACACCAAGACATAGCCTGTGGCCTAATAGGTCATTACACCCAGTACAACTAATATTTTCTCCTGTTCAAATGTGGAACAGCAGTTTCAATTACAAAAATAAAAGGTGACAGTGGTACCAGAAATCAATTTGGGTGAACAGGGCAAAATGACAGAATCAAATACATGCAAATATGAATCCAATCAAACAATATCCCTCGGGCATGCGCCCATTTGAAACAAATCTCTTTATGTCTGAGACTGTGTGACCCATAGCAAACAATAAAAGCCATAAATCAAGTTATCCGCCTGTCAAGAAAAATGGCATGTAACTTTGATAACACAGATACAGGTGGCATTGGGTTCATTCCATTGTCTGTAAATGGGGACGATATCACCAACAGATGGGGTGGCTCTTGTTGAAAACAAAGACACACATGGACACACACCTACACACAGACACAAATGATGACAAAGTGACTGATAGATGCTCTTTAACAGACGTGATTTATCCTTGAGGTTCAAAATGTAGAGAGATGAAAAAGACCTTTTCTTTTTTCTTATCTAAGAGTCTGTATTGTAACCACTTAGAGCATCATGCTTGTTAATTATACCCACACACACACTTGACTGGGAGCTACTAGCTGGTTGCTTGGCTGATTAGCACTGGCTTGTCTGTGGTTGAGTGTGCTCCTATCACGCTGAGATCGCCGAAGCCTCTTGTTAACCCTTATTGTGTGAAACAACCCAGTGACTCACCTTCAAACACTTAACAGCCCCTTTATTCCCAAACCTCTCTCATGATCAGCAATTATATCTGTGTGTGCATGTGTCTGAGTACTTGTGTGTCAGTGTACCTCTGTCCCTCTCACTAGCTAAGAAGTTAGCAGCA